CACGTTTGAGGGGTGGATCAAGTACGTGGGAGCATACTTCCACACGACGCCGAAGGGCGGATGAAGGGATCGAGGCGCATAATGTATGATTCTGTTTCGAAAGAGCAAATGCGACTGTAGACAATCCGGTAAGCACGTCTTGCTGTTTTCTTTTTAAACGAGACAGAAAAATGCATTGCCTCTCTCCCTTCGCAGTGCCAGGCGGCCATGGAACGGTACCGGGTCGAGCGCCGACGCCAATTATCGGACACCATTGTCGGCAATCAAGCCGCATTCTTCGACTGATTCAAGCAAATACTCACCGGGCGGGGTGGTCACCGCGAAGCAACAGCGTGCCGATGTGAAGGTTGGGGGCGAGGGCAGCACCTTCTCAGTCAACGCCGAAACCGCTGCGGTTTAGCGAAGTGATGGCAAGGACCACGGTGCCTGGGGTGAACAGCGTGGTAGCCGAAGACTCACGTCGAGAGGATTCAACGGTCGCTCCAGGACGGAGGGAAAAGGACGACTGGGACTCTGCCTTGCAACACGGGGATGAAAATCTTCCTGGTCCTGCCGTCGCCTCGGTAGCCGTGGGGGAAGCGGCCACGCATGATTGCAACAGCGGCAACGAGGGAAACGGTGCTTGGTGTGCTGTCGAGACTAGCCATGCCGTACGAACCTAGCCAGGAAGCTTTTTCCGCCGCCACCGCCGCCGCAGCTGCCGCTGCCACGGGGGGTTCTCGTGGAGGTGCTGCGGCGGGGGGATCATCGGTGCTGAAGAAACCGGTATCGGCGACGGTACAGCAAAGCAGTTCTTCGCCCACCATCGGGCAAGGGGCAAATCGAAACCTCGACGATTCTACGTCGGAGGCTGCGGCTTCCCCGAAGGGTCGGCTGCCTAGATGGCAGGACGGTGCGGTGAGGGGGGAGAACCTCGCGCGTCCTACCCCGATGAGCGGCAGTGAACGCTGCCAACGTGAGCAATGGCGCGATACACAAGAGATCGACCGACAATCTGCGAGAAAGGTCGAGAGTAGATCGAGCGTCTGGGTACGTCCTACCGGGGCCCTGTAACAGGAGGGCGCCAAGAGCCCGAAGATTCCAGCGGGAACGAACGAAGAAGGCACCCGTTGTCTTGCACCCTTTACACGGACGGGGCAAGGAAACAAAAAGATTGAATACTCTAAAAACACCACTTTGCGCCAAATTCGTACGGTCTACGTCACGGCCTGCGCGGCCTTGCGATTGATGTTTTGTTGTGGTGCTTGATAGATACATGTGTGGATCTAACACGTTATATACATGTTGGGGGTTTCTTACGGGCATACATCACCAACCAGATTGTGTCGTTTCGTGTCATGCCAAGCTCTTGCCCGACATGGCAGCGGGAAATTCTTTGCTCGAGGCACCCCACCCGGTGCACTTGAACCTCAGTAGGTCGCCTTCAGCTGACAGGTCTTGGCCTGTCGGCCATTCTTAGGCACTGCATACGCGTGCATAGGTTACCTATTACACGCACATGCGTCCCAGACATCCTGTCGGGGTGTTTCGAATGGATTGGCAATAGAGCAAGTGCCCAGCTCGTACAGGCAGCGTAGATGGGCCGCGTAACAATAACGGAGGCAAAGATAATAATCACAAACAACGCGTCTCCGCGAATGGCGACACGGCCCAAAAACGTGGTATGCTTAGTGTCGAGCGCACCGCCGACAACTGGTGCGTGGTCAGGGTTAGCACAGGACCAGAGTGACCGCAGGCCTCGCAACCTTGGTAAATTGGGCAACATCTCAGTTACATGCACACCACACGCGAACGGCCTCGGTGGCATGTGCTTGTTAAGTGTTAAGCGCAGTACTTTCAAATACTTGTAGTACTTCGACAGAGTAATCTGGTATGAGAGTGGTGAACCGCCGTACTGTGCGATGGGTTCGTGGGCAACGAATGCCACACCAACGTTTTCTATGCACCTATCTAGACTTGGCCAACAAGTCTCACTGGAATACCAACATGAAATCACCACCCAGCAAGGAAACCTCTGTCAGTAGGTGAATCGCCACGATACCCTTGCGTTTCGTCCGCTGAGATTGCGCATTGTGCCTAAAGTTCAACTCCACCGACCGATTCGTAAATCACGGCCTCGCATCACAGACGTTCGACATCCGCAGCCGCCACGGGTTTCTAATCCTTCGTGAAATATGCTCGTTCGATTTGCGCATCGATGCAAGCTCAACACCGGCGATCCCGTTCTCCCCACTCATTGGATTCACGCCATTTGCCGCGTCCAGTGCCTCCCCCCAGGTTGACACACCGACGACGATGGCTTTTCTTCTCTACTCTGTCTCGACTATCAGACCGAAGGCGTTTGGGAAGCGTCACCAGTTTGGAGTAGTCCTTGTCCTCTTCAGCCGCAAATTTGGAGTAGTCCTTGTCCTCTTCAGCAGCCAATTTCGAGTAGTCTGTGTCCTCCTCAGCCGCTAATTTCGAGTAGTCCTTCTCCCTTTGTACCCTCACCTCACGTGTACGTGGGGTGGAAGACAGCGGGTAACTTCTTCGGCCGCCGCTCGTGTCGTCGTCTGGGTGGTCGCGCTCTCCTCGCCTTGGGCCGCGGCTTGAAGCAGCACCCCGATATCCCGAATTCTTCTCGTTCTTCTTCGCAGGTTGTTGGCCGACAAGTGTACCGCGCGATCGCTCACACCGCTCGCCGCTCATCGACTGGTAAGAAATTCCGTGGCGTGCGTAGTCTGCCTTTAGGCCAGAATGTTCGCTGCTCCGCCCCCTCACCCCTACATCGTCATTGCTAGACTCCCGACGCTTCTGGGAAGCGGTTTCTATCGTTGTGGAGGATGCCAAGCCTCGCGTTTTCCCATTCCCCTATTGGATTGTTGACGAAGAACTCCGTTTTCTTCGCCTTCCGCTGGCGACGTGCCGGCCGTCTCCCGCGCTTGACCGCTCCCGGTGGGAGACATGGCGGCGTCCCTGGTCCGACCAGACCTCTGGGCCTTTTTTTCGGTAGCATACAGCTCCAAGCCCACCCTCCCTCTCCAGCCGCTCGTTGACACTTGATATACCTTGACCGTCACGGAATTTGCGGTTACACCTGGTACCGTGGCTGGTAGGGCCGTGAGCACTCGAGTCGTGAGTCATGTGATAGCGGTCATCGCGGAAAGGGAAGGGATTGTTCTCGCTGTGGCTTTGCTGTGTCATTGGAGGTTTAACGCCCAACTTCCTCGCCATTCCCTCGCGGTAGTAACCCGTACCAGACGAAGTGCGTTCGTTTTCGGACCAACCACCAATCTGTCGGGAGATTGACGAATAGCGTCGACGACATCCCGCCGGCGATAAAGGTGATGGCGCACGAAGGTAGGACTCCGGGTCGTCGTCAGGGCTGAGGACGCGGTCGGACGGCCTGCCTCGTGTGCCGCCCACCATTCCAGGCCTGTCATCGGCATCTTCTGCGCCCCCAGGACCGTCTAAATTTCTACTCGTTGAGACGGTCCTGGCTTGGTCGCTTTCGGTATCGCCTCTCGTAGCGATTGCCGTGGCGGGGGCCCTGGGTCCTCTTGGCTCTTCCGATACGCTATGGGCTCGGACTGTCGGTGACGTGGCACGCGTACCAATCGTTTCAGTCTGTCTGCTCTTGGACCCCTCGAGTGTCACCTCGTTCAGCGCTGCCGCTGTGACCGCGTTAACGCAAGCATCAGTGCTTGTCCCAGCGGCGGCGGTGGTCGCTTCCTTTTCCTCATGGCCAGGCGGATGTGGCGTGGTTGTCACCGACAGCACATCGTTAATCGGGTTTGTATTCTCTCGGCTACCGCTATTGCAGTCAGGCGTGGCCGTTTTCCCCGCGGCTGCCGAGGTGATGTCCGGAGCATGAAATTTATCTTGTCCTTGTTCCGAGCTCGTAGTCAATTGCCAGCCGTCCACAAGGCTGAGTCCCGCACGTCCAGCGACCGCGAGATCTCTCTGGCGTGAGAGGTCGCCTACGGTGGTGTTCGCCCCAGCCACCGCTGTCCTTGCCGCAAAGCCCACCACCGCCGCTCCGGAGTTGACTGAAAAGGGGCCGTCATCCCCCCCAACCTCATCAGGCGTACGCATTTCCTTCGCGGTGGCGACCCCGGCCGAGGAGTGTTCGCCAGAACATGACCAAGAAAGCGGCTGCGGTGAGAGCAAATGTGTCCGGTTCTCGGCGCCGACGCTCGCCCCGCTACCGGTCCCTTCCTGCTGCTGCTGCTGCTGCTGCTGCTGCTGCTGCTGCTGCTCGGAGAAATCGTGGCACGTCATATGCATAGGCCGGGGGACAGATAGAAACGTTGAGTGCGCGGCCATGTGAGATTTCAGAGGTACACATCTCGCCGCCACCTTCTGTCCCGTCATACAAACAACTACCTGGTTCCCCAGGCGTGGCATGGATCTGAGGCGGTCTTTCGCTGCCAGCCCTGTCGATCTCGACTCCGATTCGTCGATAGAGATTGTTACATGTCGTACGGTGTAGCTCACGGCAGCCATGTCATTTTGTGGTGAGCTGCCATCGGGTGGGAAGCATGCACGCAGCTGGCCAAAGGAGACATCGCGGCGGGGCCGAGGGTTGGGGTTGGGGGTTCACTTGCTGCTTGCCTTAGGGGTTCGACCGTGGACCTCGAACGCCTTGCGGGACCAAGGCAACCACTTCTTGTTCCTACACATTCATCCCCAGTGTGTGGTCGCATTTCACGTGTTTCCCAGCAAGAAGCAAAGGTTGTTACTTCGCAGTTATGTGCACATGGGCGGGGAGGTGATCATCCTTTTCGCGTCGTCACTTGACACGATAATACTTTTTTCCGAATGCTGCTTTCGAACAAGACGGCCCCACTTGATCCTGTGTGTAGCTTTGCATTATTTCGCGCTCTGTTCTCTGCATTCGTGGTCTATGGTGAGCCAAGACGTTGACATGGTCATGGTAGGGGATATAAGCAGACATTCGACGGCGATTTGCCACGAAATGTGGTGGACAAGGAATGGTTAAAGGCCGACAGGACCCCTGTTCACCACAACCAAGCACCAACGGACGAATGGCCAGAGCGCCGCCACGCCAAGCCCTCGACACCCACCTCCGCCAGCGTCAGCTCGTCCGCCTCGATGCCGTTGACGCACACCAGCTGACGCACAACCCTCTGGTCGGCTTGCAAGTCCGAAACAACCTATAACACGCGTTGGAGGCGGAAGCACCAAGTCAGACGAAGGAAGCAAACGACCCAACCCACAAGAGTGGGAAAGAAGACACAAGCAATCCACCCTTCCCGCTTGGGACCAAGGGCACAGAAGACGGTCGAATGCTGCAACGCATGCATGCTACGCCTGTATTTCGATTGCGAGCGCATGACAAGAGGGTGAGCTCCTCATGAAAATGCAATCTCTCTGGGTTTTACCGTACCACGGGCGCCCTCAACAATGTGTTTCTAGATATGACGACCAGAGCGAGTATTGCGGAATCGCACCTGCCAATCTTCATCGGACACTAGGTCGAACGGCGCAACACGCGTTTCACAAGCAATTATGCCCCCGACGCCCATTGCCGAGTCTTGTGATCTCCCACCAGATCGAATAACTGCCCCTGTGACGTCCGTTTCGCATCCCCACGCTTCAAGCTCCGCGCGAGTCCTTGCATCGGCGTCACGGTGCCGTGCCTGCTGGGTTTGGAGCTCTTCTCGCTGGTCCCACTCGTCCTGAACCTGGAGCTCCTCTCCATCGTCCTTCAAGTACAGGACAGGCCTTTCGACGTGACAACGGAGTGGGCCAGGAAAGAGAAAGTGGAAGATAGATTGTGGGAAGCACGCATCGGCGGGGATTCCGACAGTTCCCGCGGTGGTTGGCCTCCGACCCCTCGCCAAAGAGCTGTCCTTGGATATCCAACAACAACCAGAACACACACTCACCGACCATCATCTTCGGTGTGCTCCACCAAGGAGTCGAGCAACTCTTTCAAGTCATGAGGGACACGACCCGACGTCGTATTCATGGTCGAAGTCGCTCGAGTCGAAGTAACCGTTGTGCTCGACAGAGTGGCCGGCACGGTTCCCAGTTCTCGTGGGGCGTTCCTAGGGGTGGCCGAATGATATCCAATTTTTCAGAAATCAAGCAAAACGCCTCATGCGGTAGTTCGTGTCGCATAGTGATCAACGGAGAAAAGTTGATGAATTTCCATTTGTGTAGAATACTCTACTGGTGTTGATCTTCCTCCGTGCAGCATGCTGGAAACAGGGCCCTTTATTTCAAGAGAAACCAAGTACCGAAGTGATGACCGCTTTTACTTCGAAAAAAATCATATTGGACTTCTGTAATATACTCTGTTTCGAAGGTTCTCAAGAGAAGAAAGGAGCAGAATGAATTGACTGTCAACGGCCCACATAAACAATCTGACCCAGCACTCTCTCCTCAGCCGGCCGAAAACAACGTTGCAGGTTTCAAACACGACAGACGAAACAGGTGTTTCGAAGCTTGTTTGACGTCAGTAGACCAAACGAGACGAAACACATCTAGCCCATCGTGCGGTCCTTGTTGTGAAACGAAACGCATTACAACTTGTCGAGCAAAAACCACGACCAATGTCTATCTATGTTCGTACGGAACGAACCTGTCTGAACTAATATTCCAATGAAGAGCAGCAGTTAGTCGGCAATAAAAATACTCCGGAGCAAACCAACGTTGAAATCGGGTAGTCTGAAGGGGATTGCTTGTTTGCTTCCAAGCAGTTACTGCCCCGTTCTCTGGCCATCACGAATGTGTGTGTATATGTATGTATTCATTCATATGTGCGGGCGGGCGTGTCGCCTGCTCCTCGTCGCAAGATCACGTTCCGTTCGGTGCTCAACTACCACCCCAAAGTTTGATATTAGACTAGGCAGTGACCGTTCATTGCGTGTAGTGGTGCTGGTTCCGCAAAAACGTACGTGCGTGTGTGCGTGTTAGACAGTCTAGTGTTATGGTATTTTGATCTATCCCCTCAGGGTTGGCTAGTGGTATGGGGGCTGGATCCTTAGGAAAAGATGCCATCAGGACGCGTATACCCATGAAGATTCTCCATACGATTGCGTTGGATCTTCACACATTGTGTCCATGCTACCGGTAGAACAGGGGTTGTAGCGGCAGCAAGCGGTGTTCCGTGTTCTCTATTGCTTAACGTCGCCTGGAAGTGAACGATAGCGAACGGCTCAGAGACAAAAGGAAGGATAAGGAAGGAAACGGAAGGAAGCGGAGCAGCTAACCTGCACACAGTGGTTGGATACGCTCCACACTGCCCAATCCCGTATTGATTCACATATGTAGGTCTAAGCCCCATACATTTCAGAGGTTATTGGACAAAGTATTACCTACATCCTTTTACCCTCCAGTGGCAGCCCAAATAAATGCGGAAACTTTGGGGACACAACACTCAAATGCCTATTTACCGCACTGTAGTCACCCTAGGCTCCGCTGCGTGGAACGCACGTGAGAACCCTTGGTCTATCGTGCTTGGCTGAGGTGGTACGCTTTGTGATATGCTGTGCAATACCTCTCCTGGGCCTCTGACGCTCTGTACACATCTCCCAAGCCGCGCGTGTCTCCTACGTCGTAAAACCGATGTACATCGCCTGGCGCTGGAAAAAATGCTGACTTGGCTTCAGTATGAAAAGTGTCCCTACGTGTTTTGGGGACATGTTTCATACTGAAGTCAAATCACCCTTCACCTGGCAAGAGCTCAGATTCTTTGGAGGGACTGCACCCCCTCGACCAATGGCTGATAAACATTTTCGTGGCATTTTGTTGTTGCGGAGGAACTGGGTACTACTGTACTGCTGTAGGAGGCGGGTTATGCAAGGACGAAATATTCCCATTCTGAATCCAATATTTTAGACACTCCCCCCCGGCCGGAATGAAGAAGGTTGAGAGTGTGGGTTGTTGTTGTTGTCTTCACATTAAAAACCGTTCCGGTGTCCCCTCAGTACCTTCTAATGACCGTACTATAACAGTCCAACTGACGCGGACGCCTTCCGTCGTCACGAGCCAACTACAGCAGCAGTACTTCTAGACCTTGTACCAAAAAAAAAAGTCCAAGGTTTTCATATGTTTCGTCCTTGAGGCTTCAACTTTGCCAAGAACCCTTGGCGGCGACCAATGGAGGGTTGCCAGCCAACCTGAATGAAGGCCACCACTACTAACAAAACAAATCGAGTATAATGCCGCCCGTCGTATCTCTTGCGTGAAGGATTGTAACGAACGCCAATTTTGTGCTCGCCCGGCAGGCAGGGGGATTGCGTTTGACGTTACGCAAGGGAAGCAGCGCTGCAGACTACAGTACTCCGTCA